CCGAAGTATCATCTCGCAATCACTCTTACTACTTTTTTCATGAGAAAGATTTATTACATTTGCAAAATTTAATTATGTATTTAGCGATTAAAATGATTTCTCTCGCGTAACGTTTTTGAACGTTTATATATTTTATACGTTATATATTTTTATTACAACTCCTTGCTAGAAATGTATGCAGTTTTTCCTAGACACCTATTCAGTTATTATCTGATATTACGTATTATTTTTATTAGTCGTAACAATACTACGTAGGAAGTGGGCAAAAACCTGTGTTGTTTAATTGTTGTTTAATATTAACAGATTGTTATTATTAAAATACTGTGTTCATTTAATCCTGCTTCTGTTCAGTAAAAAGATTTTGCGCATCCTTTGTTCACAGTAATTGCACGCAAAGCCGTTACATCTTGATTGGAATTTTAAGTAGTTTTACTTCTCAGTTGCTAGTCAAAGTTAATATAACTATCCAGTAACTGTTTAAAAAATGCATGAAATTTCTAAACGTCGCAGTAATCAGACATTTAATATCTATATCCAAACATTTACACAAAACTTTATATTTATTTATATTTTAATATTAATCTCACAAATGTTCTTTTAAATACAATATTTTAATTTAATTCTAATCTTTAAATATAATTAAATTATAACATTGTAAAAAAAGCATTTGAGAGGGATTAGTAAAAATAAATTCTAGTATCCGGATATATATAGATATTAAATATATGTCTAGTCACTGAGAAGTTTATCTTATCAGGGCTCTCGCTACATAGTTTACAAAAAAGTACAATACTTTTAATAATGGATCGTGTGTATTTGTGTTATCTTTCTAAATTTACCGATGTCGTGAGCAACAACTAATTAGGAACAAAATTAGAGAGCATCCGATAATGCATTGCTAGAAAATGGAGTATGACTTGTGTTTATTGAGGATTAATGCGCTTTGAATAATAATGTTCCTCTTTTTTTTTTATTCAAGCAGGTTAAATGTATTCTTTTGTAACTTGCCGTTTCCTTTGTTTAACTTCTCTATAACTAGCTGGTCAATAAATAACACTTCTTAAATCTGCGCGAATAAGGACGTTAAGGTTTGACACTTCTTACTATATAATATCTAATGTTTCACCAGTCCAGAAAATGATTTCTCTTTTTTTTTTTTTAATGTGTAACACAATTACAGAAAGCCATCTGACAGAATCGAGCAGCGTCACGCATATCTGCGCACGTGCAACGATGCATGTAGCGATAGTGACAGCTGTGTTGTGTGTTGATTGTTGGTCGTCGTGACGACTGATGACGACGACCGGGTCGAGCAACCGCTCTTTACAAGCACGATGGAGCACGGTACACCCGTGTGATTTAATTCACTCCATTTAAAACGAGATTTAAAACCAAACGACGAAATGGTGGTCGCCGACAAACGTAGGTATTTGATAGTCTCCACGGCGGGGAACTTCTTCAGCGCGTCCGTGCAACACGACGACGAGGACATCGAGGATCGCGAGATCCTCGATCGCTTCCTGGAGCAGTCCTCGTGCAGAACTCTATGCGCCAGGCCGGTCGACACCGATCGGAATCAAGTCCGTTTGAAATTGAGCACCGAATTGCCCGCCGGTATAAGAAACACGTTGGTCTTCTTTAAGGTAGAGACTCTTCTTTGCAAAAGAAAAAAAAAAAACATTTTAATTATGAAAATTGATGAATAAGTGCAGGAGATTAACGAATAAGAAAAAGGCTTTTTTATCGATGGGATATATTTATTGATTTGCTTTCTTACCTTTCTTGAAATCTGCTTAATCCGTTCTTCCGTACATTTCTCTTACAGTTAGCTACCGTTTACTTTTAATTACCGTCATACCGACTGACAAGTGTGACTTTCTTGATGATAGAAAGCATTTTCTAGAAAGTCGCGATTTAACGTGCTATTTACATATGCTGATGGTGCGAAAATTCGTGCAGGTGACAGCGGCGACGGTAACAGAAGAGAACTTTCACGATGTGGTCCAGGTGGCTTCCACTGGCTGCGGGGATGGATCGGTACTGATTGAGGGTCTCCGTCAGGTATGGGCGCCTACCCTTCGCTCGTCTGGTTTAAGTACGTCTTGTTTGAAGAAATTGGAGGAGGGACTACTCAGCTCCGGATTTTCGACTACTGTTGTGGAGGAAGAGGAATTTTGGAAGCGAAAAAGGGATGAAGCCAAACGGTCGCACGAGAGAACGAATTGCGAGGAAGCTGCCAAGTCCGTGAAGAACATCAAGATCGAACTCGAAAGCGCCGCGGTGTCAAGGTGCACATTGTTACTTCGACTATCTTAAAGGGCTGTCTACAATGGAAATAATGTAGTAATGCTCGGTTCTACTAATTTAAAGTTTAGATTTTAATATCTCGGTTCAACTGACTTTTTATCTTTTTCTAATTCTTAGGTCGATATTTATAGTTGATTCTTATATTTAAAACCGTTTTAAGTACAATATTATGATATCATAATAAGCTAATCATAGAGTCGTATTAAGACATTACTTAAATTGATTTTAAAGTAAGAATAGATTTTGAAACACCGGCGCTAAAATTGGAAAAAAATTAAGAGTTAATAGTACCAAGATTAAAATTAAACTACGTTGATAGAAATGAACTTAAGTCACAAGTAAGAAATCGAATCGTAATCAAATATGAAGAAAATAATCGACTGTGATTGATCAATTTCTTGTTTATAAGATTTACTACATAATAATATTCCATTGTAAACGGCCCATTACTGTTTTATGCAATTATACCTTTTTTCCTTACGTTTCTTTTACAGAGATGGATTGATCGCTGTGGAAGAAGCTTGTGAAGCTATTTCTGTATTCGTGGATGATTTATGGAAGTTAGGGGGACCAGTGTATACCGAGGAACGAATGAAATCGTTTCTCGATGTAATCGGGAACGAAGTGGTTCAGCTGATACAAAATTATCTCGATGCGGTACGTCAACTATAATTTAGCCTTAAATTATCCATAATTGTCTATAATCAACTACAGAGTCAAGACGTTTCGAGGGCACACTCATAAATTGGCAAAAAGTCTTTGACACGTCTAGAATTGTTTAAAAATAAAATCATTGTTTATGAAAATGTTGATATTTTTATTGATGTATGAGATTTGATTTGAAAAAGTGTCAAAGAGGTGTTTACACGGAAAACAGTTTTTCTGAAGTATCTAAAAATTTAGTTAGATACAGATCTAAAAATAATTTTGTTGTACTATCAAAATAATTATGTTAGGACACTCAAGCTGCTTGTTAGAATTTCAGAACTTTTTGCAGCATTAATTGTCATGCTTAAATTTCTTACATAATTACTTTGATGGTTCAATAAAATTATTTTTAGATCTATATCTGCCTAAATTTTTAGTAACTAGATACTTCAGTAAAATCATTTTTTTTTTTGTATACCTACCATTTGATTTGATAACACTATTAAGTAACCGTTATCTCATACATATGACATTTTATGAAATGTAATTCGTTAGGTCGACATGACCGATACTCGCGCAAAGGACGAAACAATTGCATTCGGAGCGACAGTATGCGAAAAGTGGGTGAATGCAACGCAGAAACTAACGAAGCTTTTCTGGCCGCATCATTCGCTCCATCCTTGGCGCGGACCGATCTTCGTACCAGAGAAATGCTCGAAGCTCGGCAGAAACCTCAGGTAGGCGTTAATGCATACGAAACGGTATGGAATGTAATAATAACGTAGTCGCAATCTTCTAGGCAGATGTCCGAGTTACGTGCGCAGCATCGCCAATTGAGTAAACTTCTGACTCCGAGTGAGAGATCGGGACTCGGTATCGAGAAATTGCTCCAAACGTTTGATGATACGACAGGTACATTGGAAGGAGATTTGTTTTAGAAATATTTTATGCAGAATAATATATTTTTTGATGAATCATTGGTTCTTTTTACGTGAAGAAATTACAAAATAATCAATTAGTTTTTGTCTCCAAAAGTTGCAGATAATATTATAATTAAAATAGACAAAGCAGTTTTTGTACTTGCAATTTCTCATAAATTGTTTAATAAAAAAAATTGAAATAATTAAAAATGAACAGTATAATAAATTATTAAATAATATAAATTAACGACTATATAAATATATACTTTAAATAAATAAATGTTAATAATTTGCAGTTGCTCTGGGCAATGATGACTGGGACAATGAATGGAATAGATTGAGGCGTAAAATCGAGGACGGCTTGATACCAGCCGAAGAACGCGTTGCTCAGAAGCTGAAGGATCACATTGCCGATGCTGATACTCCAAGCGCTCTGGTAGCCGAATTCGAGAGATACA